TGTCACTTTAGATGAAAATAAGGAGTCCCTCCCCACGCCCCTCTGAGAGATATTTGGTTAAAAAGAACACAATGGTGCTCTAGGAGGAGATTCAGGTGTGTGTGTGTGTGTGTGTGGGGGGGGGGGGTTACCTTGGTTGCTGATTGGCTAATGGTTACACAAGCCAAAAAAATCGTTATGACATCATAAAGTGGCCAAAATCTGATCAGCTCATTTTCAGACAGGTTTTTATATAAATGGATCAGGACAAAAAGAGAGAATATTTTTTCCTGAAACTTTCAGAGTCTCTTTCCACAGAGGGGACACATGTTTATGTATAAAATACATGGAAAAGTGGACACCTTTAATTCCTGATCACTAATAATAAGTATTGCTACTTGCTATCAAGCAAGTACTTATAATTATTTCCCTTTCTTCCTCCAACATTCCCCTACTGTGACACTTATCTCACCCAGATCATTCCCTTAGGGGCAGCAGTATGGCTGACAAAGAAGACCCTGACAAACCAACCCCCCCTCCCCTTTTGTAAACCCACTTCTGATTCCCCGCACTGTGACACAGCATTTCTGGAGCAGGTCTTCTGGGAAGTAAGGCTGACTTAGTGGGCCTCACTGGTGACGTGTATCTCTTTGATGTGGGTTCTGTATCTGATCTGTTGTAAACAACTCTGAGGGGAAGAAGTTCAACACTTGTCATTTCATTAATACAATCATATGGGTTGAATCTGCTGATGAATAGAAGCACTTTGTGAGTCAGAAAGGGCCTCGGAAATCTTTAGTCTTCAGCACTGTCAGACATAATGGATATCCTGGCATATTGCGGTAAGGTGTAACATTTACTTTTATCTTACTAACTCAAACATGTAACCACAAAAAAGAGAAAAAGACTAATGAAAGCAATAAAACAACACAATGAAGTAGACACTGATATTCCAACTGCGTCAGACTGGAATATCCGTGTCTGACTTGGACTTTTATCCAGTGCTAGCCTTTGGGCAAACATTAACATGTATTTTCACATTTATATGAATAATAATAACAGTGTTTTTATTCAAATAAGTTACAGGTAAATATGAGAGAGTGCATTTTTAAAAACAATTGGAGAAACATCTCTCCAGTTGTTGCAGCTTTAGTATGTTGCCTCATTTTCTTTTGTCTAACTTCCCAACAGCCTTAAATCTGTACTGTATACACACACATGTTTCTATAGTGTTTAGCGTGTGAAAGTGCGTGAATGGCCGAGTGTAGAGGATCCTGCCAAAGTGTATCCAGATGCTCAGGGTGATATGGTATTTATCAGTCATGCAGACTGGGATCATTGTGAACAGGCCAGGAAGAAGGGGGAAATCAGATGTCCTAAGGGAGTGATAGAAGGAGGGAGAGGAGAAGGTAGAGAATGAAAGGTGCATGAAGGAATAAAAAAGTAAGCAAAAAGCCTGAGAAGGTAGGACAGGTGGAGGATATCAGGAAGAAGAAGAGACATTTCAGAGAGGTGAGACTGACAGACAGATACTGAAGAACAGAGGGACATGAAGGAGATGGAGAGAACCTCTGCTGCTCAGTCCCACAGTCGGGAGCTTGAAGGCCTCTCTCACCTTTCCATCAGCAATGTGCCTCTGCCTTTCATTCCAAACTTTGGCTCAAAGGATTAGCGAGGCACACGCGCACCAACAAACACACCGCTCAGAGCCATCCAAGCAGGTATAGGCATGCATTAATATTAACAGAAAAAGTTTTAAAAATGTGAGTGCTACACTCAGTCAAATGAGTGTACAATTCTAGTGTACACACACACACACACACACACACACACAACACACACACCACAACACACACACACACACACACACACACAACACACACACAACACACACACAACACACACACACACACACACACACACACACACACACACACACCACACACACACACACACACACACACACACACACCACACACACACACACACACACACACACACACACACCACACACACACACAAATGCCTGAGTCATCTTTCCTGGGTGGTCC